ACAAATGGGCTTGAAGATCCACGTCTCTTTCAGAATGTACACTTGGCAGGCAGAACAGTATTGAGTATATTTTAGATGCCTAATAAATGTTTGCCCAAAAAGAAAAGGTTCATTTGAGTTTAACATAACAGTAGTCATTAAGAAATGGGAGTGTTCTGGAAAGAGCTTTTTTTGCCTAATTTCCATGTAAAAAGAAAATTCAGCTGATCAGGGCCCACTATTCTCTGTGCATTCCGATTCTTTAAAAATTGTGGTGTAAAGTCGCTTTGATTAAAGAAAGACTATAAACTTTCGAAAACACAGCACATGTTATATAATGGGTAAAACATATATGCATGTTTTGTGATATTAAAGAGTCGTCTCTTGGATCAGTATTTTTCATTCTCTCAGTTGTATGGAAAATCCGTTTTACATCTGCCTTTTCATTTTGGAGGTTGGATTTATCAACAATTCTTGATGTGTTTCAGAGTAATGAATTTTAAAGGCGATGAAGGGTGACCCAGGATGAAGGGATGAATTTTAAATCCCGTTAACTCTGATCCTATATACACAGTCTTGACTAAGTCAATATTTAAAGAAGATGAGAGACTAGACTGATATTAAACCACTGCCTTGGGATTTAAAAGCAACTCTATTCCGGAGAGTTCGAAACACTGAAATGTGGTTCAGGCGTCTTTTTTCATATGCTAAAACTGCAGGTCAAGGAAATGCACATTTTTTTCTCTTAGCTGAACTAAGCTCGAAGGCTTTTTCACCCTTTCTGTAAGTTGGTTCAGTGGTAGTAAAATGGTAACGATAATACAGTTAATAAGAGTCAATTTAAGGAGCACTAAACTCTGAGCCAGATGTCATGCAAGTGCTTTACCTACCTTATCTTGGATACCAGTTGGTTTGTGGAAGTGTGTGCCGTGACCGGGGCCATGTGTTTGTGTGCATTCCTCATGCTAAGTCCAATTTTATGTTATAATTTTTTTTCTCCTAATACGGAACAGGGGCCATTAAGCATAAACTTCTTTCTGCCCATGGCCCTTCTCTCGATGAAGTGGGACCCCCAGCTTTGGCTGCTCCTCCTTTCCCATGTTGGGGGGCAGTGCTCCCCTTCCATGCGCAGCAGACACATCCACCTCTTCCTCTCCTTCCTCAGGATCTGCTCGCCTGCAGTTGGCCCTTTCCTCCACTCCCATGGCTGCCACCCAGTCATCTTAGATCTGCCTTTTTTGGGGGCGGGGGGAAGTCTTGGGAGATTTCCTTCTCTTTCTTATGAGCTTAGCTATTTAAAAGTTAGTTTGCTGATTTTATCCATCATGAGTAGGCATTTTTTTTTGGAGGGTGCGGAGGATGTGGGGGGTGGTGGTGAAGAGGAGGGTGGAGTTGTCATATTGTTAGAAATGCAATTTCTTAATTAACAAGAGAGAGAGATGCATTACTCGATTGAGCTGTGATAATCTCTACACATTGCCCACTACCACCAGCTCTGCTCCTTGTCTTGGAGATATGGGGGCAATCTTTGAAGACAGATTCCTTTGTAAAATTTTGGGAGGCTTTGCAACTTGGATCTGTTGAAGAGCTGGAGTCTTTGTTTTATTGACCTTTCATGGCACAATTGTTTTCCTTGATGTGCTCGGGATGACATCTGAGCTTAGACAGTCCCTTGTCACCCCCTCCCTCAACACACTCAAGGGCCAGGTCTTCCGGTCTGGTTCTGGGGCTTGGTCCTCAACGAGTCTATGCAGGCTTCACTTTAAAACTCTTTAAAACCCTCCTGACTTTAAAGCAGTTGATCTTTTCAACGAGAGACCCATCATCGGCCCAGGCTTGACCCTGGTAGAATCATTGCCCGCAAATCTCTGATTACTGTCAAATTGAATTAGATGCCTCCCTTTGCTGGTTGGTCATTGCCTTTTCCTTAACCTTGCCCCAGTGTTTCCCATTTCAGTTGTTACGGACGAAGTTGACTAAACGATTTTGTGTAATGAAGAACGCCGTTCCTTTTTCTAGTATTACCGATGCGGAGCTTACAAGTTTAGAGGATGAATGAAAAACAGCCTGTTGAAAAGCCGGTGTTTGAAAACGGAAACAGACTTACTAGGAAACCTTCCAGGGAGTAGCTTCAGAGTGCAGGGTGTTCATGGAGGGACTCTCAGAACCAGAAGCACTTGGGAACCAAGACACCAAGGAGTGACTGACTGGGTGTGTTAGCTTCCTGTGGCTGCTGTCACAAGTTACTACAAACTCGCTGGCTTAAAACAACGGAAATTTATTCTCTCACAGTCTGGAGGCCAGGAGTCTAAAACCCATGTCATTGGACCACGATCAAGGTGTTGCCGGGGTCGCGTGCCCAGCGATGGCTCTAGGGGGCATCGTCTTTGCTCTCTTCCAGCTTCTGGTGGCTGTGGCATTCCTTGGCTTCCTGTCACTGCCATCTCTGCCTCCTGCTTCACAGCCTTTCCCTCTGTGTATTTGTGTGAACTCTTTCTCTGCCTCTATTTTTTAGGGACACTCGTGACATCGAGGGCCCACCTGGATAACGCAGGTTAATCTCATCTTAGAATCCTTTCCTTTTTCCAAATGAGGTCACATCCACACATCCCAGAGATTAAGATTTAATGACTCTGGGTGGCTGTTCCATAACCTACTACAGACAATTAGAGAGCTAAATAAATTATCTTCATAGTAATTGTGTGCCGTTAAAAAGGGAGATCATATGACTGCTAGGCTTTCAGATTATTGTTTATTCATAGGACTTTAAAGAATTTCATTGCCAAAGGGTGTAATTTTTAAAACATTGTAACACGGATTCCAGCAAAGACAGAATCTAATTGTACGCTTCAGCATCCATCTTTCTCCCCATCCCCACGAGATGATGGGTGTGTGTGTGTGTGTGTGTGTGTGTGTGTGTGTGTGTGTATGAATGAGTACTGTTTTAAAAAAGCTTTTAGTCTAGCATCTACTGAACTAGTTGGGGCCAAACACAGCAAGAGTGTACCTTTAACTTCTGTGGGCAGGTAACACCAGCCTCGGCTTGATGGTGATGGATAGTAACTCAAACTTATTGCGATAATCATTTTGAAATACGCAATGTGTCTCAATTAAAAAAAAAAAAAAAAAAGGCTGCTTTCCAGAAGAGAGAACAAAGTAAGCTGTTTACAGCTATTTTTGCTTCAATGGTAAAAAAAAAAAAAAAATCCATTGTTTTGCTCCGTAATGTAATGTGTTGGTCACATTGTTTATGAAGTATTGTGTGTGGTGAGGAAGAGAGTGGTCCCTGAGTTGAAGGATGAATGGTTTAAATGGCATCACAGCAAGGAAGGAGAGGTAAAGGGACTCACTCTCTAGAAGGGGCTAGGACTTGAGTTAGCATCTGACGGTTGGGGGGGCACCATGAGGGGCCTGTGACTGGGTGATGGGGGTGGTGTGAGTATGAGCTTGGAGAGCAACTGAGCGTGTGCTCTGGGAGAGCGAGGAGAGCCGCCTGGGGAACCGGAGGTCAGGGCTGGACAGCGGCGGGGCTGCTGGTGCTGCTGCTGGAGATGCTTGAGTGCTGGGCTGAGCGTGGACCTTGCCCTGTAGGTAGGTAGGCACCCCTGAAGAGCTGTAAGCAAGAAATCAGTTCCAGACCCATTATTTTCGAGGCAGGATGAGCATCAGGGATGAGATGTAGGACATGGATGCAATAGTCCAGGCTAGTGGTGGCCAGACTTTTATTCTTTCTTTTTTTTTTTAAAATCACAATCCTATATCAAAATAATAGCATTTGAGTCCCTTACTTCAATATGTCTGTATCATCTATATCTATCATTTATTCAGCATTTATCTACTGACCCATATCATACTTCTGCATTAATAGATATTATTAATAACTGTTATAAAACAGTTACAACAAAGACTTATCAAAAAAGGAAATAAGTGGAAATGGAAGGTCTGCCATTTTCATCCTGCACCCAGGTGGTGTGGTGGTGGCCTTGTATAAGAATGTCCCTCGGGTTGCCTGAGTCTCGCTTGGAGACGGTGTGTCTGGATGCTGGGAGGCAAGGTCCTAAATGAAGCAGACTGGGGGCGTCATGATCAGGGGAGCAGGTGAGAGAGGTGGTTAGCAGCAGGATCCCACAGGGCTGTCGTGGCCGGTCACATTAGAGAGAGGAGTGAAGATGTAAGGAGAGGAGAGGCCGAAACAATGGTGTGCTTGATTTGGGGCTTGGCGAGTGGACAGGTGACCGCCCCCAAAGGAAAGGGGTACAGATTTGGGTGGAAAAGACAATTTCTCTTCCGTTCCATCTCTCCATCCTTCCCTCTGTTCTTCCCTTCCTCCTTCCCTCCCCTCTATACAAGGCCAGAGGGTCCACACATGTCACCTATCGACAGTGGGGGACGTGACCCAGGAGGGGCATCCCGTGGGTAAGTTGAGATGCAGCTGTGGAGTAGCAACAGGCTGGGTCCAGACAGAGGGCTGGGAGTCAGCCTTTGTGGTAATTCCCTAGAGGAAAAAGGGAAACACCGGAGGCCAGAGGCAGCCTGGCCTGAGGGCCCGGTGCAGGGCAGAGAGAGGACGGAGAGGAAGGTGGGGTGCTGTGTCATTGGGCATCGCACCCCCAGCTCCTCAACCACGCCCTCAAACCGAAGATGGGGGCAGCTTTGGCTATCTCAGAAGTGGTGGCATGGGATGGTGGCGAGGCCTGAGGGGGCGAGGAGACACCCTTTGCTCGAGGAGCACTTGGTGTTTCACCCTGTGAAGAACCGGGTTTGACACTGACCTTTCTCTGAGCCTCCCAGATGACCATTCAAGTTTGCTTAAGTAAATCTCACTCTCTTCCTTAATAATTGAATCTTCTGATCTTTGCTGATGTTACATTTTTCTTTTCTTCCCTCGATGCTATTTTAGATAGTGTTATTCTCCTGGTGCAGAAAGTAGCTGTGTGTTTTCCTAGGGTTTCTGTGAATCGTCAGAGAATAACCTTTGCCTGCAGTGTCTGACGACGGCCGTGTTCTTGGTGTCTCCTTAGGTGGCCATAAAAGTCATTGACAAAAAGAGGGCCAAAAAAGACACCTATGTCACCAAAAACCTTCGGCGAGAGGGGCAGATCCAGCAGATGATCCGCCACCCTAACATCACCCAGCTCCTCGATATCTTAGAGACGGAAAACAGCTACTACCTGGTCATGGAGCTGTGTCCTGGGGGCAACCTGATGCACAAGATATACGAGAAGAAGCGGCTGGAGGAATCTGAAGCCCGCAGATACATCAGGCAGCTCATCTCTGCGGTGGAGCACCTGCACCGGGCAGGGGTGGTCCACAGGTAAGGGCGGAGCCATGCTGACCTTTGCGGTTCTGTGCTGAATGGGCGGCACCATGCTTTGGCCTGCTCCAAGCAAGGCTGAAGCACTGCAGCATGTTTTACATTTCTTCTTCATCTTTGCTCCATGAAGTTGTCTTGTGATTTGGGTTAATGCTAGTGTCGGGTTACGAGAGTGGCGTCTGAAGGCAGAGTGTCCGGGATCCTGGCTCCACCCTTTAATAGTTCTGTGGCACTTGCCAAATTACTTAACCACTCTGAACCTTGGTCTCTTCTTCTATCAAATGGAAATAACGATACTTATTTTGTGGTTGGAGTAAGGGTTAATATAGAGAACGTAACGAGTTAATATATGGAAAGAGCTGGGACCATGTTTGGTACACAGTAAGGGCCATGTAGGTGTTGGTTGCTATTCTCATTATTTGCAAAATGAGGAGACCAGCTGCTCAGGAGCCTGAAGGAAGCATCAGTGTTAGGATGGAATGAGACTGTTTTTCAGCTAGTGCTAGGGATGGGGCTTTCATTGAATTTACTGTATTATGTATGCTAGTTGCTCAATAGCTGTTTTCTTCAGTTAAATTGAATCACCATTTGAATGGTGAACTTGCCCTTGAAAGTGAAAGGTGTTCCCCATAAGCTAAAACAACCTTGCAAATAATTACAAAAATCAAACTTTTTTTTTTTTTTTTTAAATTTAAAAAGCCTGTTCCCTCCTGTGGATGAGCTCCATAAGGAAAGTAACTGGACACAACATTTCTAGTGGTGTGATTGTCTACTTTTAGTGCGATCCCAGAATAAAATAAGAAAATAAAAGTGCCCTCTTTTCCTCCTGAGAAAGTGTTGACTTCACCAATAAAAGCGTAGTTCTTCCTTCCTGGAATTATAATCAATAATTACTCTGGGTTGTTGAGAAAATTTAAGACTCGTGTTTAATGGATTCTCATTTTAAAAAGCAAGATCAAGGCATAAAATATGTTGTGTGTGCATATACAGACACGTATATGTTTAGCACTTTTTAATTGAGAAATAGAATTCAAATACCATAAAATTCACCAGTTTTTAAGTATACAATTCAATAGTTTTTTTTTTTAATATAATCAGAGTTGCGCAACTATCACTGCTGTCTAATTTTAGAATATTTTCATCACCCCGGAAAGAAATCCTGTACCCATTAGCAGGCATTCTCCATCCCTGCTCCCACCAGCCCCAGACAACCACTAATGTACTTTCTATCTCTAAAGATTTGCCTGTTCTAGATATTCCATGTAAATAGAAACAAACAATATGTGTTTTTTTATGACTGGCTTCTTTGACTTAGCGTGATGCTTGCAAGATTCATCTCTGTTGTAGCATCTATCAGTACTTCATTCCTTTTCATGGCTGAATAGTATTCCGTTGTATGAGCGTACCACATTTTGTTTATCCAGTCATCAGTTGATGGACATTTGGGCTGTTTCCACCTCAGGGTTGTTGTGAATAGTGCTGCTATGAACATTCATACACAAGTTTTAGTGTGAACATATATTTTCACTTTGAAGAATTCCACTCTTAGCCATTGCTAGGTCATATGGTAAACTTATGTTTAACCCTTTTGAGGAAATGTATCTTTTTAAAAATTTAACTTCTCATGGTGCCTTTTATCTGTTTGGAAGCCATTCACACAGCCTGACTAGTGGAGGAAGCAGCTCTAGGCCTATAAGTGATAGAAATTGTAGGCTTTCGAGGTGGAGAGGGCCATTTCCATACTCATGGGATTGGCACCACGATACTCTACCCTGTCATTCCTAAACCCAGGGACACTGTGGGGGAGGTCCTCTGAGCCAGCCTGGACCAGGCAGCATTCAGGCTGATCATTTCCTCAGCAAGGTGAGTGAACCTCTTTGTGGACATATTTTTAGTCACACACGTTGTCACGAAATCACGCTTCATTAGAAGTCTTTGAATTCGGATCAGCAAGGAAGGGAACATTCAGAAATTTCAGGTGAATAACACTATTTTTGGCTCTTTCCAACAATACCCTGTGTTGCCTGCTGTGTCATAGCTCTGCCATTATCAGGAAGATGGTGGTCGTAAGTGTGCCCGGTTCCCGTCTCTGTTTATTAAGATGACAAAGGCAGAAACCTCATGGATGAATCAGCTCAGATTACCGACTCCACTGGTCGCAGGAGAAAATAGAACTGGGGCAGAGCTTTCTGTGGGACTCAGGGTATTGTTATAAGGGTTTCATGCTGTCAAAAATTCCCCGCGCGCAGAGCTTCGCGGGACTTTGAAGACAACAAAGAAAAAGCAAGTGAACACTGGGCATTGCTCACTGGACTCTCCCGAAGGAAATTCTCCACAACCCTTTTAAAGTAATTTTAACAAAATCCTTTCCCTCTCAGTGCAATTACTGTCAGAATGTCACAGGAATGAATTTCATGTTTTGATAGCAAAGATGGTATCCTTTTCCCACTCGGATCTCCTGTATTCGGCTTCTTCCTCTCTCCTTGGAAATATATTCAAAGCCACTAATGGCAGAGACTCAGATCTTTGAAAGTTAGAGAGGATTAGAATATAGATATCGTTTAAGAGGAGTTCTTCATTTTTCTCCCTAGAAATCACATTAATGAGTGTCACTTTACCTGGAGGTGGATGATTAGGTGGTTGAGACACCGCATGAAAATGTTTGTTTGGAATATACTCATGGGTGACTTTAACTGAACGTCTTGACTTTCAAAGATTCTATACCACTAATTTTTAGCACACGTAATCTAGCTCAATGCTGGTATACTATTTACTATAGCCCCTTTCTACAGCGGAGAATTTTCACCTTTATGCTGGAAAGGTGGAATGAATTTCATAAATTATTTTCAAACGAATAAGAAAGTACATAGCATTTCAGAGATGCCCTGGAGTCTTTAGTGGGAAGATTTTTGAGTAAACAGATTGGGTCATCCATAAGGATTTGGGATGAATTTTGGTGGCTACATTGTATGATTTAAAGGGCTTTTGGTTACGTGTGTTAGAGGATGCTTTAAAAACACAGTTTCTCATTAGACTGATACTATATTGTTATATCTCATCAACTTGATGCTTAGCAGAGCCCTCTTTCCTGTGATATTAAATCTATATATTTAGTTATCTACCCAGAAGTATTTTAATATCATTTAAAGGAAGCACATCTTTAAAATCATGTAAATATTACAAGTAGAAAGAAAAAAAGGAAACTATTATAAAGCAGATTTCCTTAGCTGGCAGAGAACATTTTAAAGGACCTGCCATAGCTTTTGTGTTTTTGCTACAATAAGGCTGTTGTTAACTTTGGCAAAAGTAGAATATGGTCTTAACTTCTTCGTTACTCCATTTCATGATTGCCTGAGATACTCTACATTTAAAATCTAATGTTTTTTTTTTCTTTTTCTCAAACGTGCACACCCAACAGGATGCTAAAATGCGATGATTTGCCTCTTGTATACAGAGCGTTGACTCTTAAACATCAATCATCAAGAACGCTGATTCTGCTGATTCTGCTAATTTGAGACTCATCTGTTCATTCAAACTAACAAAGTCCAATCAAACTATACAGACAAAACATAACAGGGTAACACAATACCGCCATCCCTAAGCAGGAAGAGATGAGCCATGGGGGCCCAGGACTAGGAGAGAGACACACACACATGATCAAAGGGGGCTGGAGCCTGTGCTTGGATGCGCTGTTGACGCTATGGCCTCAAGGGCATGACCTCCTTCATTCACCAATACTGGGAAAGGGGCCTGTGCGCTTAGGAGGAATGCAGTAGAAGAGAGAGGGCCCTTCTTTGTTCTTGTGGGCCTGACAAGAAGCAGGCACAACCTGGACTCGGCGGGTATTAAGGAGTTCTTTTAACTTTCAGGTTTTCATGGTAGGGGGGCAGGTGGGGGAGGCAGATGCGAGGGGAATAACTTCTGATCACATCCAGGGGCTGTTTGAGATGCCAGGGCCTTCCGCCGAGAGCGAGCGAGCAAATATCTGGAGGCACTGGTTACATACATATCAAAGATTTTGTGTTTAATTGCGTTTTTAAAAAGATGATGGAAATGTGAGATTTTCCAAAACTCTGTAGAGCTCAGCAACTCTGTGGATTGGAGTGGACAGTGGTCAGCGGTGTTGATGCTAAGGCCAGACAGACCTCCTGCATCCACATGCCAGCTCTGCCACTTAAAAGCTGCATCGGGCAACACACTCAGGCTTTTGTGCCTCTCTTTTCACAGCTACGAAATAGAAATGAGGGATTATCCACTTCATGTGATTGTTGGGAGGATTAAATGAGTCCATTCATGTAAATTGCTTAATACAGAGACTTTATAAGTACAGTAAGCCCTCAATGTCATGGGTAGATTTTGCGACTTTTAGTGAAACCACGTATTACAAAACCAGTTTTACCATAGGCTAATTGATAGAAACAAGAGTTAGGTTCCTACAATGTTCTAACAAAACGATGTTGAACCAAATGACGTTATTCAAGGACCGGCTGTACTGAGTACACGTCCGCTGTAATTATCACTGAGTCTATCCCATTTATTTTATACATGAGGGGGCTGGCTGAGTTCTCTGTGCTCAAACTCTGCAGCTGTTCTCTGCTTGTACTGCCCTTGCCATCTCTGACTGGCTGACTCCTATTCATCTTTTAGGTCCCAGGTCTAAGCTCACCTCCTCCAGGAGGCCCTCCAGGCTAAACCCCTGATGATAGACTCCCACAGCACCTTCTACTTTGCTTTCCAAACACTTTTCACCTGATTACGTACTTCTTTGATATGTCTTCTGCACAGGCCACAACCTAGCTCAGTGCCCAGCCCAGTGGGCACTCAGTAAGACTGTGCAAGTGAAGACTTTGGGAAATTGAACGACTGTAGCTAGTGACAGAATGAACACCGAGATAGAAGCTTTCTGGTAGCCAGTTCCATGTTCTTTCTGGAATAGTCCATGTTTTCCCTGGAATTTCAAGGGTATTCCTTCATTGACTTAGTATCAGTTTGTTTATTTT